CAGCACAGGTGTGTGCTTCCACCAGGCTTCCACTGGTCCTTCTCGAGTTCATTTTTCCCATCCACCTAAATGTGAAGTCCCCATATGCCACAGGCATTTTTAGCAGAGCGAGAGAAATCCATCACTGTCGTGAGGCCAGTGTGAGCCCACTGGCCCCCACTTAAGCTCTGCTAAAAATGCCTGTGGCATATGGGGACTTCACATTTAGGTGGATGGGAAAAATGAACTCGAGAAGGACCAGTGGAAGCCTGGTGGAAGCACACACCTGTGCTGGTGTTGGTGGTAGCTCACCTTGGGGCTGCCTGGAGCCACGCGCCTTCTCCCAAAAAGGTCCCTTACTGAGCTGAGCCCCTTGCTTGAACTGATTGTGGCTAGGGCACTGCAGGGCCCCCAGGTTCATTCTCTCTCGGGTCAAACAGGCTCCAAGTTTCCATGCTGCAAACGGGCCTCTTTCCAAGTGCAGCTAGCCCACACCCAGCTGGGACCTGCGCTCTCACCTGCTGCAGAGACTCTGCTGTCACAGCTGAGTGCCTGACTCTGCTGCCCACAACAGAGGTAGAGAGATCTCAGCTCAGCTCCTTTTCTAGCTATGTTGGCTCTGAAGGGCTGCCAGGTGCAGAAACTTCCTTTTGCTCAAAATGCATGTGAAGAGCAGAGATGGGTTAAGTGACCCTGTAGCCACAGATCGGTGACATGGCCCTCCAGGGCTCCCAGATTTTGCTCTGGGTGACAGGGCACAGCATTGTCCTGTTGTTCTGCATCCTCCACTGGCTCCCAGTTCCCTTTCAGTTCACTGAAGACCCTCTCTCCAACACCGTTTAATGGACTCGGCAGATCTCCTTTGAGACAAGGCTGCAAGCAATGGCCAGACTCAAGAGAAAGGCCTGTTAGCTTGGTGGGAGGGCACTCATTAGACCCTTCCTCCCTGTACCTACATCTACACACATGTGCACACGCACACACATACAGCTTTGGGAAAGTTCATTCGGGGACCCTCCAGTGTCTCAGGCTCTGCTCTGCCTGGCTGGGGGAATCCGACTCTGCACGGCAAACCTCTCTCTGCACGTACGGTCGTTGCTGTGCACGATCTGGAAGTTCTTGACGGAGGCATGCGTGACCCTGCCGTGGAAGTTCAGCACGTATGACTGGGTCTCATCGTTCCACACAGGGGCCTTGTTGTGCAGCTCAATCAGGTTGTCCATGTTCTTGTTCTGCCATCTCATAAGCAGCCCATCGTTATCCTGGAAACAGGGAGGAACATGCTCAACGGGTAATGTCAGAAGGGAGCAGGAGACCCTCTCTGCTTCCAGAAGTCTCTGCAAACATTTCCTTGCATCTGTGCAGGCTGTGTGCCATGCAAGGTTGCTTGCAAACTCTTCCTAGAGAGCTGGCCACGAGGCAGCAGAGCGTTTCTTGCATCCCATGCATCTGTCTGGGTTGTGCATGCACCTTTCACATGCTGTGCTCATCATCATCTCCGTGCTGTGAGGCCCCTCTTGTTCTAGTCTAGTTCTTACACCTGCCTCTCTCTCTGGGATCCCAGTGTTGAGAAGGGATGCTGCCACTGCCCAGAGGACTGGTTAGAAAGTAGCTGCATCACGGAGGAAAGGGATCCTGGTTGGAGGTTGGTGGGAAGCAGGTTTACATTTTTCACCACTTCTAAACTTAGGCCACTCTGTATCAGGCTGAAACAGGATGCTGCCCACCCCATGATGGTCAACAGCCAGAGGAGTGTGCTCACCTGGGATGAGGGAGGCCCTGTGATCGGTCTCCCAGCCCCAGGTGAGTGCCCTAACCACTGAGCTATGCTCACCTGGGTCCCTCGTGGCTCCCCTATTGCATTTGTTTCACTTAACTACAGACTGATTGGGCCTGAAAGGGACTGACCATATAGCCTGGTGGTTAGAGAGTTTCAAGGTTCTGCACCAAAGACACTAGTTTAAGTATTTAAACTAAGTGGAACAACCCCAAGAGGAAATACTGAAGCTGACCCCAGAAAAGCCAGTAGGTCAAGGCACTTACCAAAGCTTCAGGAAACCCAGGTTCAAGTCCTTGTTGGGCCTGATTTGAAGCAGGAACTTGAGAGCAGGGCTACATGAATGCCTTGATCACAGGTTTGTGTCTGTCCTTGGGTGGGGTCTCTGTGTATCCCACCTGAAATGCCATCCTACTGCTGAGAACACCTCCCTGACTAGTTTCCTCTAAGCTAGCCTGGTCCTCCTAACCCTGTGGGTCTCAAAGCATCAGCATTTTCAAATACAAACCTCAGTCCTGATCACCAGGGATACCTGTAGATATGTGGGGACGCTGCTCCGACGTGCTGCAATTACAGCGTTGGAGCCGACTCGATTAATCGGTGTCTCGCATAGCAGCTTCTGTGTTTTGTGTATCAACATCCCTGCACTTCAAAACGGTGGCAGGGGTGCTTTAACTAAAGCTTGTTGAACGACAAGCTTTAGTTAAAGCAACCCTGCTGTCATTTTGAAGTGTGGGGACACTGATACATGAGATGCTGCAGGTGCTTTAATTAGAGTGGCTCTCTGAGTTGCTCTAATTAAAGCTCCCCCACCTCCGTAGCATGTGTAAAGATGTCCCAGGTTGCTAACTGGTTGCTTTGACTCACGTTTCGAGGCCGGATGGGCACCCTTTCGTTGTCTGAATTCATTCCAGGGATGATCACTGTCATCTTTCGGGGTCCTTTGAACCCTAAAACATTAGTCTCCTGAAACACAAACCCCAGGAAACCCGTCAGGCAGTCCCTTTTTGGCTCAACAAGGGTACACCCAAAAGCTGCTCAATGATTGACAGCAGCTGCTCCTTGCACTGGCCCCAGCTCCAAAACAGGCTTGCGTGAATGGGACTCCTGTCTAAACAGCCTGAGCCCCAGGGCCCCACGTTACCCTGCCTCCCTTCCAGTGGTTTGGGGCAGTACAGGCGGGTGGCACCAAGGGGGAAGTGCCTCTCCACTGCTCTGTGCATAAGCAGAGGACTCCAGTCCCCAGGTAGGACCCAGAGCTAAATCCAGGAATCGAGGGCTCTGGCACCGATTTCAATGGACTCAACACCATGTACTAACTACTGCTCCCGGGGAGAGCTGCTCTGTGCTGAGGGGAGGCTGGAGGGAGCCCATGGGCTTGGTACTTACATAAATAACAGCTGCCATCTCCTGCCGCACATTCGACCAATCAGCATTTGCTCTGTCGGGATTTGCACCATTATCGAACACAGTAAACTTGGTCCCCATTAAATTTGATCTAAAACAAGAGAGTCAGAAACAAGACTGAGGAGGCTGGGGTGGGTGCTGTGCTGCTGGGCACGACATACCCAGGGCATGTGGGCAGCGGGGCCAAGGTGCAGCCTAAGGGTTTCCAGGCCTTTGTAGTGGTTCTTCAAGCCCAGATCCCTGCACTGTGAGCTGGGACAAGGGCTCTGCTCACCCTCTCATCAGAGGAGCAGACGGCCCCCTGTGACATGCTGCAAGTTAGCTGCATGTCAGTGGCTCTCCTGGGTCGCTGCACAGGTGTGCAAAATATGACCAGCCCCAACCCAGGCCCAGCCCAACCACGTCAGATTCCAGAAGACTAAATGGTTGCAGGGAAATGCTCCCAGCTTTCTCCTTCCCCTCCGTGCTGGTCCCTTGAACCATGATATCCACCAGATTGCCTGGGCGGTCGGTGCTAAGTAGCAGTACTTCCCTGGATACCAGAGCAGGCTTTGCTGCAGGCATGGATTGGATCTCCACGTTTCCCAATAACCCTTCTGACCAGCGCAGAGACCCATCTCGGCTCCTCGCTGAGTCATTTCCAGACATTCCCCACATTCCTCTCTGCAGCAACTGGTGTTGTGCATTAGGAGGCCTGGCAGATAAGGTGCCAAAGCAGATCCGAGACCCACGGGTGCCTGCTACAGACACAAGAACAGGGCCAGATGCCCCTTGTGAAACCTCTGGGCTGGAGAAAGACATTTCAGACTGACCCATCTGTGAATGGCTCCAGCGGCTCTTGCTCCGTTACTGCTGCAACCCCCTTGTCCAACAGGCATTTCTAGGCATGTAGGTTGCCCTAGTTTACGATCTGATTTAGTTAAACAACAGGACAGCTGTGTGTGGACACCTCTGATGAGGATTTCAGCTAGCTACATCCATTTCACTTGCACCTGAAAAATGCATCTACTCCTGCAAACCCAATACAAGCCTGGTTCAATTTGCTTTCGGAGTATCGACACACGGAGCCGCACTAAACCAGCTTAATGTCACATCTGCAGCTAAACTGGTGCAGGTCTTCTGGAGGCAGCGCTGTGCTGAACTGAGGCCTAGGCAGGGGCTCAGCTATCTGAGGCACTGGGCTAATTCCTGCCATTTAGGTGGCAAGGGTGGGAGACTCCTAGCCCTGTCTGGGAACCTCTCTCTGAGCTGCTATCCATGTGTCTACTTCCCACTCCATGAGACCAGGACAAACTCCTCTGGCTTGCTGCTGGGATCTGTGTGGCTCCCTGAGTGCATTATCAAGTTGTGACCTGTTTCTCCCTCCGAAAGAACCAGACAAGCCAGTTTTCCCCTCTCTGCCCCCCAGGGACACTCCCAAGGCCAGAAACAGTAATAGAAGACTCCAGTTCCAGCCAGCAAAGCTCTGACCTCCCCACCTCATCTTGCAATAAGCTCAGAGGGACTGAGCCTAAGTGCCTGGGGGAACAGCAGCCTAAACTACATACGTGCCCTGCCCTTTTACATCTGCCTT